GGCGAGATCGAAGTTACACCATATAGGAAAACGGTCACTGTCTATATCTTGCCCCATGTGAAATTCTGAACATTTTAGACTTGGATCTATAGGCGTTATACATAAATCGAGTAATACTCCAGTATTTGTAGCAGTATTCCAGTGAGTTGGTGTTTGGTCATTTAGTAATACAGAGTTTGAATTATTTATGAATCGTAGTAATCGGGATCCATTTGATGTTGTCCATCTACATCCAAAATGTTTATGTTTTGAATTGAGATCCCCTACGTATTGAGTGTTGTAGGCACCGTCATTCCACTTTACACGATTGTCGGTAGTGCTGTTAACTCGATAATGGTAGTGTCCAGGCTCACCGGGTCGGGGGTTGTCCATTCGAATCCCACTCAGGTTGCTTATTTTTTCCATTGTGTGTTTGTTTTCCCTCATCCCTAATCGGGTGACGCTTTTTCTACCGTTAAGTTATCATCTATTCCTATGAACAGAATGTTATACCAGAATATCATTCAACTTAGTACAGTATCCAACTGGCCAATGTAGGCTAATACGTAATAATCACCCTATAGCCTCTGGAGACGTGATATGATACGGTTATGATGCTGATGGTATTGCATTTGGGCTGATGACTCTATGGCTGGCCTGAATGTTATGCTCATTACTTATGCTTAACTAGCGCAGTTGTATTGATGTAAGTGTGCGTGGCTCGATAAGTTGGTAAAGTCGCTGTGGTATTGGGTGTATGAAAGGCTCAGCTAGGGTTCAATTGATTTAAATTTAGAAATATATTTCCCCCACCCCCCGTCACTTCAGATGTTTTCTGTCTGTTAGCATCGGTAAATAATTTGTTATACATGTTGGTTAATTAAGTAAAACTTCGCAGTAATGATTATGTAATAAAATATACCAGGTAAAATTGTGTATAAATCACGCCCACCAAGGCCCACATACAGCTCAATATGCTGAATGTTGAACAGGGTCCACGTGAATGTTTCCACATGGGATCCATAACAGCTAACCATATAGAAACCAATCTATGACATACCTGATGATGACAAAACCTTGTCGAAACGTTGTACATTTGCTGTTATATTAAAGTTTTTCTTCATTTTCCATTCAAGCCGTCTCC